GAGTTTATGAGCTTATCTACTGATAGCGTTATAATAAAATAAAATGAAAAGCTGCTGAGAAGACATAGGTAGTCCTTACCTTACGACCACAATTGAGCCCAAAGTTTCTGCTGCTACGTGAGACATTTGTTAAGTGGGTTTTGCCCCATTTTATGACTTTTCTTGTTAAGTGAATCACTGCAACTCTTAAGTTGGTAACATGGTTGTTAAATGAATCTGGCTTCATTGACTTTGCTTGTTGGAAGGTCACAAAAGGTGATCACGTGATCCCAGGACACTGCAACTGTCTTTATGAATCGGTTGCCAAGTGTCTGAATTTTGATCACCTGACCATNCCCTTCTCCTTGCGGACTCAGGGCGGCTGACAATGATTAAAATACTAACATATACATCTAATTAAAAATTGATTAAAAAGAAATATTTAGATACGTCAAATTTAAAAGTAATTAAAACCCCTTTAAAATCCCTTAGGCCAGTCCCGCGAGCTGGAACAACCACGTCTTGAGGGCGCGGCGGAAGGAAGGGAGATCAGGGTTTGTAAATGTAAATGTTTTATTAGTTGAGTGAAGGACTGTTGATAGATTTCAAAGACTGAATAAATATGATGGAACCTCCAGCTAGACTGGAGGGAGGTGTTAAGAGGGAGTTGAGTTTAGAATCCTTGTACTGCAGGAAGTGGCAAAGAATCCCTGGAGCCTTATCTGACCATTCCCAAGGGAATGCAGTCAGTCTGGCCAGATTCTTGTAACATAGATAACCAGCAATAAAACTTCAGTTTGACACTCTTCACGAATGGTTCTGGTTGTTTTTGCCTGACAATAAATCTATTTCTCTGATGCTGAGGATCAGAGAATTCCCCTAATTGTTGTTGTTGTTAGTTGCGAAGACGTGTCCGACCCATTGCAACCCCATGGACAACGTTCCTCCAGGTCTTCCTGTCCTCTACCATCTTCTGGAGTCCATTTAAGCTCATGCCTACTGTTTCAGTGACTCCATCCAGCCATCTCATTCCTTATCGTCCCCTTCTTCTATTGCCCTCAATCTTTCCCAGCATTAGGCTCTTCTCCAGTGAGTCCTTCCTTCTCACTAGGTGGCCAAAGTACTTGAGTTTCAACTTCAGGATCTGGCCTTCTAAAGAGCAATCGGGGTTGATCTTTTCTAGGACTGACCGGTTTGAACGCCTTGCAGTCTAAGGGACTTGCAGGAGTCTTCTCCAGCACCATAGTTCAAAGGCCTCAATTACTGATTCCAATAATAACATTGCTAGAGGGCAGAATGGACATGCAGGTCTGACATGGGAGCTAATTCCATTGACATGGTTAGTAGCTACTTTAAGATTTGGTGAAATATGCTACGGTTGGCTTGAAGGTCTCTCCCAATTCATGCATAGCATGAATTATCATTCAGATTTCACATGATGAACATTTACAACATGGCTGCCTCCACTTTGATATTTAAGTGGTCACAATGTTGGCTTCAAGTACCATCCATCTGACATGCACATACCCACACAGCCACTCGGATAGGTTATTGCCCAGATTGGTAACTATAATCTTTTCTTCCATTTCTGATTAGAGTCAAACTTCAATTCCTAGAATTCCCGTAATTAATATCTTGCATATGATGGTGCTGATTTCTCTGTTTAATTTTTCTTGTTTCTCAGCATCATCATATGCAAGACATCAGCAGATTTCAGGAATACCAATTTAAAAAAAACCCAACAACCATGCACAATCCCCCCTAATTACGGTAAGGCCCAAGTATGACCCATGGCCATAGAACGGTGGCTAAAAACTGGGCAGGGAGGGTATAAAATGAGAAAGAGAAAAAATTATCCAAGCAGGAAACAAGATTGTTTAAATGGAAAACTGACTAAGAACAATCTACATTACTGTGCTTTTTTTTTAATGACAGATCCCATTTGCTAGTGAAAAGGGAAATATTTATTTAAAATCATTTATATTCTTTTCTTCTTCCGTGATAAAATGATACTTGGTATATACTACTATGATTTTAAATGATAATAGTAAAACTCATCATAGCTATTTCAGAAATCACAAAGTCTGATTAAAAAGAAAAGGCTTAACTAATTTGAATGTTGTGGAGCTGTTGCTGAAAACTGTGTCTGGATAAGGTTCTTAGTATAAAGTTCCAGCTTCTGCTTAGGATTACATGAAGGGGAACAAAATCATGGCCTCTGTATTTAAGTCTGAGTTAGGCAGAAAACAAATACACAGCTTTTCCTTCCCCCGAACAGCATTACTATCCAATTCAAGAAACTGAATAATCTTCCAATACAGCCCCCCACACAAAGTGTAATTATTTAGGAAAACACACTGCTATGCAAAAATGTTAACAGCGGAAAAGAATAGAAATACCACTGGAACTGGCAACCTTATTAACATTATTTCTATTGCATGGATGAATGCTTGTCTTGTCCAGACTTAATTTGCTAGCTCTCGTCTAACATCAAGCACCAATCAAAGAGTGTGATCAGCACATACAGTAGATTTAAAAACACACCAGGGACAGAAGAAGTTCTCAAGAAGCTGTGTAGGTTAGGTTATATCCTTCTGGAAATACTACACCACTGGTTTGATGTTTGACTCACAGAAATAATGCAGAAGAACACATAATAAATGATACTAAATACCACTTAAGCTATAATCGCCAGAATCCTCTTCTAAGGATATTTTTACTAAGGTCTACCCTTTTAGTCTCATGTCCAGAATGGCTTATCAGGTAAAAATAAGCTTAGAATATTAATTTAATCTAGGAACATCATGATCCTTGGTTCCACGCTCTATCCTCCCCATCAAAGAAATATTGAGCCTGCGCAAATAATTCTATAATATCTTACATAATAATAATAATAATAATAATAATAATAATAATAATAATAATAATAATAGTAGTAGTAGTAGTAGTAATAATAGTAATAATAATAATAATAGTAGTAGTAGTAATAATAGTAATAGTAATAATAATAATAATAATAATAATAATAATAATAATAATAATAATAAAGTTGGAAGGGACCTTGGAGGTCATCTAGTCCAACCCCCTTCTCAGGCAGGAAACCCTATACCATTTCGGACAAATGGCTGTCCAGTCTCTTCTTAAAAACTTCCAGTATTGGAGCATTCACCGCTTCTGGAGGCAGGTTGTTCCACTGGTTGATTGTTCTAACTGTTAGGAAGTTTCTCCTTAGTTCCAGGTTGCTTCTCTCATTGATTAGTTTCCATCCGTTACTTCTTGTCCTGCCTTCAGGCGCTTTGGAGAATAGCTTGACTCCCTCTTCTTTGGGGCAGCCCCTGAGATATTGGAATGCTCCTATCATGTCCCCCCTCGTCCTTCTCTTCATTAAACTAGACATTCCCAATTCAGCAACCGTTCCTTATATGTTTTAGCTTCCAGTCCCCTAATCATCTTTGTTGCTCTTCTCTGTACTCTTTCTAGAGTCTCAGCATCTTTTTTACATCGTGGTGACCAAAACTGGATGCAGTATTCCAAGTGTGGCCTTACCAAGGCATTGTAAAGTGGTATTTAAAGCAACATATTTATATTTTAGCTGATGACATCAAAATAAAACTGCTGTTTGTATCTCAAGCCAAAGCGTTCTAAAGCCAAGACTACAACCTTCAGATTTCCCATGTTAGGACAGGAATTTTGGGACTAATATTCTCAACACATCTGGAAGATATCAAGTTGAAGACCAGCTTTTACATATGCAGCACACAACAGTAGCAATGAAACCATACATGGGTGGTCAGAGAGGATTCAAATTGAGTGCACTTAGGTATTTTGCAGAGAAACGAGAAGGAACCTTGTTCTTCTTGGTGGACACCAGAGCTCTAGGCTACACTAGAAATGCCAACAACGATGCTGGAAGAAAGCAATGACAATTTCTACAAAGCTTCAAAAAAAAATAAATGAAATCTACCTGAGTTGAACTACTCAAAAGAGACACTGCCTGCAATCAGTGGTAGATGACAGTATATTCACCTCCATCAGTGAAGGGTAAGATGGAAGAAGAACTGAATTTGTGAAATTATTTATGGAATGTGCACAAACAGATCAGTTCCAAAATCTTGTGGAGAACCTTTTCATCATTTTTCTTCATACCAAGTTGTAAACATGCACTTTTATTTTACCTCTCTTTTCTATAGGGTTTACCAGACTTCAAAATATCATCTTATTTAGTAGAGGCCAATTAATTTGTAGAGGCTCTCAAAAGCTTCTCCTGCATAAGCCTGAACATCAAGGCCACCATGATTGACAACTGTAATCATCTGCTTATTTATTCTTAGCAATAAAACACCTACTCAAAAATCTCTGCACTAAGAAAACTATAATCAATCATGTGTCAAACTAAAGCCTGTATATCCTATCATATTCTACTGATCTGACTACCAGACTGCATGAATACAGGTAGTCCTCGACTTACAACCAAAATTGAGCCCAAAATTTCCACTGCTAAGCAAGACAGTTATTATGTGTGTTTTGCCCCATTTAATGACCTTTCTTGCCACAGTTATTAAGTGAATCACTGCAGTTGTTAATAACCCAATTGTTAAGTGAATCTGGCTTCCTCACTGACTGCTTGTCAGAAAGTCACAAAAGGGGATCACATGACCCCGGGACACAGCAACGGTCATAAATATGAGCCAGTCGCCAAGCGTCTGAATTTTGATCATGTGACTATAGGGATGCTACAACGGTCATAAGTGTGAAAACGGTCGTACGTTACTTTTCTCAGTGCCATTATAACTTCGAATGGTCATTAAACAAATTGTTGTAAATCAAGGACAACCTGTATAGCCCATCACAGCTAACAGAACCAGATCTTGACTATGGACACATTTAAATTACGTAGCATGTACCTCTCCTAACGTAACAGTTTCCCCCTTCAAAACAGGGCACTTTAACTTACTGGGAAACAAACAGTAAATAGGTAAGGGTGTTGTGGTGAAGGCAAATCAGTAACATATCAAACTTACCTTACCAGTGCATCTGGTTTGCTTAGCTGGTTATTGGGGATACAATTTTCCATTAAGTCTTTATGTGTGCTTGGGCTCTTGCTGGTGCACTTCTGTTTTTTCTCATTCTTAGCAGATGAGGAAGGGATGCTTCCATTAGTTGCACTGTGGTTGTGAGGTGAGGAGTTCACAACTCCACTAGCATTTTTGTAATTTTTGGATGAGGCAGTGCATGAGTCCTCTTTCAAGAGGTTTTCTGTACTTCCCACAAGATCGTTATTTAATCTTTTACTGTTGATATGGTTCTCCATATATTCAATTTCCTGTATTTTAGAGTCTACAGGTTGCAAAATGTTGTTATTTATTCCAAGGTTATGTTTTTTGGCATCCTTGTCTTTTTCTTTCCCCTTTTCTCTGTACTCTAGTTCTGGTAATGTTGTAGATAATTTCTTATTAGCTGGAATGCCGCCGTTGTGTTGCAAAAGTATTGAGGAATCCATCTCAGACAATCCTTTGGCTGCTGAAACATCCAGAAGGAAGGAAGGAAAAGACAACATTTAAAATTTAGCATCTATTCTCATATTCCTTTTACAAGCACATCACATTACTTCTATTATTTCCCCACACCCAATAAAATAGTTTTCCTTTAGTTATATTGCAAAAAAAAAAAAAAGAATTAAAATTCCTAATAGTTTCTAAATCAATGAATTCCTGAAACTGATTCCTGTGTTGCACCAACCAGGCCATTTCTGTAAACTTCAAAATTCATCTAACCCTCTTTCTAAATAGAGAGAAAATGTATACGAATTTAAGAAATGTCCAGCTGCTACCTTGTGTGAAAAATGAATATAAAATAATAATAAAAATAATAATGTTGAAAGAAAAAAAAAAACAGTTTCATCAAGAAAATGTTAGTCAAGATTTGTGCCCAAATAATCCTGGTACTCGGGCGAGCAAGTTACAGCAATAAGGCAAGATGTTGTTCTCAGCCAAATTTTTTCTAGTTTCTATGTCTGATAGTAAGAAACATTTTTGAACATGTTTTTCAGAGAGAGGGAGAGAGAGAGAGTGACAAAGACAGACAGAGAGAGAGACAGAGAGACAGAGGAAAGAGACAGAGACAGAGAGAGAGGAAAGAGAGAGAGAGACAGACAGACAGACAGACAGACAGACAGACAGAGAGAGAACCTTTACTTGTCATGGGGCATGAACAAAAAGATTCAACGTCTGCTTTTTGTAAAGAAGGGCAAATAGAATGTCACCAAAGAAATTCTGCACATATAGTTACAGACTATTCAAAAACAAAGAGCCTTAAACTGTATGAAACCATGCTGTGGTACCCTAATTCAAGAAGCCATGGTTTGGATTTAAAGAGAAGAGGGGAATGGACGATTGATTCATAAGATGGGTTTCAAATCTGCAAACCATTACTTCTACACAATGCCTGTGTTAAGAACTTACCTTCTTCTGCTTCTCTCTCTTGCCTTTGTAGCATCTGTTGTTCAGGGGGTAATGCTTGCTGAAGGAGTTGCATGTAAAATTCATTTTCTTTCTGCACTTCCTTTTGTTTTCGTAATCGCATTTTATAGCTGACATAACTTTTGAAGCCAAAGCCCAAAGTCACAACAGGGTATCCAATACTTGAGGGGGAAAAAAACAAACAAGACAGACTTTACTAATTAAGACAGAACTGTCAAAGCAAATTAATATAATACTCTGGAATATGACAAAAAGAAATCACAATGGAGACATCAAAGAATTATCCTCAGAAGCACACTTGTCTACAGAGGAAGTGTAAAGACACAGATATTCAATCACTTTTCAGTTATCTGGTTTGAGTGCATCTTCCCTAAGAGCTTGGCATGTCTGCTGTTTTACTGCCAAATCTCCACTGTTATGAGAAACAGAGTCCATTTTTAAATACAAAAATGCAAAAATACAAAACAGTACAGCTATACAAGCAAAAGCTAGAACGCAATAAAGCACAATGTAGACAAACAATAAAACAGTAAAAATAAGACAAAGAAATCAACCTTTGTTGGGTTCTATAAGCAAACTGTAGCAACATTTAAGGAGATTGTGCCCTTCTAGTCAGACTATAAATAGTAATGATAAAATACAACTATGCGGTCTGGGAACTTGATTAAAAGGGGAATTATAAAAGTTTCTCAGATATAAAAATCATTATATTAAAAAATAGTGAGCTGTGCTCCCATGCTGTACACTAAGTCTGCATATGGCATCTTCTTAAATTTCCCTTTCAATACAGCCATGGTTAACACACTGAAAGACACTCAACACACACAATGGTAAAAACCATACCACAATTGCTAATTTCAATCAATATTAATTTGATTCAAACAACATCTGCCTATCCCAGGTCTTTGTGAAGGACTCAATAAGTGAATAAAAATGCCAAATCTAATTTAAACATCTGGTTGACTATGTGCCCAACCATAATAATTTGATAAAGTACTTGTAATCTGACTTATTATGGAACTTATATTTGTATAATGAAACCTGGTCTCTCACTTTGCCCACCTAGTTCCAATTTAAATCCTATGATAATTCTGCACCTGATGAAGAATAAAATGCAGCTTCTGATTTATTTACTGCCACAGGTAACGTGACATTCCTTCTACAGTAGATAAATCTCTTTTAAATTTTGGCACCTTCAGGTAATTTAAATATCTACTTGTCTTTTCAGGAAATATGAGAAACTGGTTTGAACGTTATTGTACCAATGTTGGCTGGGGAATAATGTGGAATAATTCTCCCAGAGAACAATTTTGCATTTGATAAAATAAAAGTTTTACTGTATAATCAGCATTTAACACTACTAAAGCCAATCAACATTAGTGAAATATATTTTGAAAAAAGCACTTTTAATACCGTTTGGAAAATAGGTTTGTTTCAATATCCAAAATATGTTTTTAGGACACATAATGGAAAGACACCGCTAAATGTCTATGGAAAGTCTCAGTCATCCAGGTCATAGTTATCTCAAAGGTGCTTTTTCACGAGGCAACTGGACTTTCTTGTTTTTCTTTGAAGACCTTTTGCTTCTCGTCATTAGCTGAAGAAGCTTCTTGGATGAGAAGCTAACGTCTTCAAAGAAAAACAAGAAAGAGCAATTGCCTCTGTGAAAAAGCACTTTTGGGATAATGGAAGGACAGTTTTAAAAGAACTGAAAAAGGGGTTGGAAATACAACCGAGTGGGGCAGATTTTGATGTCCTGATTCTCTTTCTTTTCTGTAATCAACAATGACTTTTATTGAGCACAGTCAATCCATCACTCAAAGGCTACTGGGCAGAAGTATATAATTTTATGTCCTGTTTCTGATTCTGTAATTCCGCTGGCACAGGGATGGTATAGTTGTGTTCAGATAGTTCTCGGGTTACAGCCCCTTGTTTAGCCACTGTTCCAAGTTAAAACGGGGCTTAACAAGAGAGGCTCATGTCTGACAATTGGACTTCCGGCCATTGCAGTATCTTTGCAGTCCTGTGATTGTAATCCGGTGTTCAGGTGATATGCAAGCACAATCATGGGGGAAGCAAGAAAAGAAATTGGTCATCACTTCCAATTCCTGTTGCTTTTTCAACGATCCATGCTCCGAAGTGCCTGCCCGTGGCAGCCCCTAACTGCATTCCATAGCACTTGCCCGTGGCACCTTGTGTACTCACCAGCCAGTCTGCTTGCATGGGGCTCCTGCCTCTTTCTGTTTAATGACTCACATAGTTCTAGGGCAGGGGTAGGCAACCTTGGCTCTTTTATGACTCGTGGACTTCAACTCCCAGAATTCCTGAGCCAGCTATGCTATGCTGGCTCAGGAATTCTGGGAGTTGAAGTCCACGAGTCATAAAAGAGCCAAGGTTGCCTACCCCTGTTCTAGGGTTACGACAACAACCAGGATGGCTAGGATTGCCAACACTAAGTGATGTAGTCATGTGATATTGCATTTTATGACAGCATCTGTTATTGGTGGAAATCCTGATCCCAATTGCTGTAATAACTGAAAAACTACCTGTAGTTACTTGAAATGCACATCCAGTGCCCAATCTTGTTTTTATTAGATAAAGTTTTATCTGTTCCAAAAATGAAATTACTTTTTTTTTTAAAAAAAAAGACCAAAGTACAAAAAACAGAGCAGAACAAACAACTGACTTGCTGCACGTGGTTTAAACAGGAATTTAAATACTTGTCTATGAAAGGTCTATATCCGTTTTAAATGTCTGTTGTAAATTTGACACTAGCCTAGAAATAGCTGATGACAACTCCAATAACACGAAGCAAGAGCATTGAAACCAGTGTTGTCAGAAGTAGCACTACTGAGGTCCAATCATGGACTGCATTTAAATAAAGATGACTGTTCCATAATGCTTTGAAGTGCTCCCAATCTCACAAATGCATAGGTAGAAGTCTACTTTTGATATGACATCCCCAGTGCTTTTACAGAAAGATGATGTGATCTGAAGAATTAACATTTCATAACCGCAGTCAAGCAGGCAAGTTTCATATGGTCATTAAAAGTTCACCCCACTCAAAGATATAAGGTGTTCAAAGTCACTTGAGACTGGATCAGGCTGTAACTCTATTAATAAGAAGGAATGCCAGATGAAGTTACAAATATTGATCACGGGAATCAATGGCTATTAGCCTTGTTGGAAGTGTGACTGCTGCTGAAGACCACAGGCTGAGCTCCCATGTGCAGTTAAGTTGGCCACTGTGGAAGACTGCTACTACAGGTAATTCTCAACTTTCTGCAACTGGGACAAGCAAGGCAATTGTTAAGTGATTTGGGCCTGATTTTACAACCTGTTCTGCCATGGTTGTTAAGCGAATCAGTGCAGCTGCTAAGTGAATCACAAGGTTGTTAAGCAAATCCAGTTCGCCCCCATTGACTTTGCTGGTTCAAAGTCAGCTGGGAAGGTTGCAAATGGTGATCAAGTGACTTCAGGACATTGCAACCATCATAAATAAATGCTGGTTGCCAGGCACCCGAATTTTGATCATGTGACTCTGGGGAAACTGTGCTGGTTGTAAGTACGAGGACCAGTCATAAATCATTTTTTTCAGTGCCATTGTAACTTTGAATGGCTGTTAAACAAAGTCAAGGACTAGCCTATACAAATGGGTTAGGGGTCCAATCCAGCAGGGCATCCTTATGTTCTTACAGGTAGTCCTCGACTTGCGATCACAATTGAACCCAAAATTTCTGTTGTTAAGCAAGAGAGTTGTTAAGTGAATTTTGCCCCATTTTACGATGTTTCTTGCCACAGTTGTTAAGTCAATCACGGCAGTTATTAAATTAGTAACACGTTTTTTAAGTGAATCTGGTTTTCCATGGACTTTGCTTGTCAGAAGCTTGCAAAAGGTGATCACATGACCCCAGGACACTGCAACCCGTCATAAATACACATCAGTAGCCAAGCATCCGAATTTTGATCCTGTGACCATGGGGATAGTGAATAGTCGTAAGTGTGAAAAACGGTCATAAGCCACTCTTTTCAGTGCCACTGTAGCTTTGAATGGTTACTAAAGCGACTGCTGTAACTCAAGGACTACTTGTATTTTAAGGAATGCTTAAGAGAAGAAAAAATACTGGACTATCCACTTACCAGTGTGCAGCAAAAGGCCGACAAAGGTCGACATGAAAGTTTTTGAGATCCTTAAATCTGATTGCTGCTTCAATATAAACAAACAGTATCCACAGTGATACTGTTGGTAAACACACGCCTCTCTCTGTTGGAAACAGAAAACAAGCCAAGCGTCAACATTAAAAAAAGAAAAGAAGAAAATTAGACTTCTTAAAATAGCATGTATAATTATGAAGGGGAAAATCCTATGCCATGACTGAGCGAAGCTAACATCCATTACTCTTTTTTGTACAGAGACACAACATAATATGGTGGTTAAGATAATAATAATAACAACAACAACAACAACAACCATAATAATAAAGTTGGAAGGGACCTTAGAGGTCATCTAATCCAATCCCCTGCTCAGGCAGGAAACCCTATACCATTTCAGACAAATGGCTGTCTAGTCTCTTCTTAAAAACTTCCAGTGTTGGAGCATTCTCCACTTCTGGAGGCAGGTTGTTCCACTGGTTAATTGTTCTAACTGTCAGGAAGTTTCTCCTTAGTTCTAGGTTGCTTCTCTCCTTGATCAGTTTCCATCTGTTGCTTCTTGTCCTGCCTTCAGGCACTTTGGAGAATAGCTTGACTCCCTCTTCTTTGGGGCAACCCCTGAGATATTGGAACACTGCTATCATGTCCCCCCTCGCCCTTCTCTTCCTTAAACTAGACATACCCAATTCCAGCAACCGTTCCTTGTATGTTTTAGCCTCCAGTCCCCTAATCATCTGTTGCTCTTCTCTGTACTCTTTCTAGAGTCTCAACAGATGTTGGACTGGGATTGAGAAATCCAGTTTTCAGTCCTCCCATGGGCCCAGAAGCCAATAGGTTGATCTTGGGCAATCACATCCTTTCAGCCCAGGCTCTGCAATAAGTCAGCTAAAGAGCAAAACCCCTTATTGCATCATCCAACTGATAAACATTGCTAAAAGAACTAAGTGAAAATGCAGTGCAGAAACAAGCTGTGTAGAAGAAGCATTAACAATAACTAATTTGTCATTAATTCAAAACAAAGTCTTTTGAAACTGTCTACAGCAAAACTCAGGTTCTGCTGCATTGTTGGGCTCTGTCATTATATATGCTGAAACCCCTATAGCACCCAGCTAGCCTTGGCCTTTCCTGCTAGGAATTAGGGAAGGTGTTTTTTTTCAACTTTTCTGGAGATCAAAAGGATGATTTACTGTAAGGTTAATAATGAACTTTACTACCTAAAGATAAGAAGAAAAACAAAGCCAACATCCTGCAAGAATTCTAAACACCAAAAACACTTCAGAGCTTCCCATGCAGTTTCCAATTCATTAGGCTGAATCCCAAAACATGAGATCTGTCATTCTCAACCCACACTTTAAATCTGAAGAGCGGAGCAGATATACCGACATCAGGCTTGCATTCCTTTTGCTCTTGCAAGTTACAGGGTGGACTCTGAGGTGGGGTGTGTTTTGATGATATAGTTAATTATTGTCAAAGCTTGGATGAATACTTACGCCTTGGTAGCTTCTCCTGAAGCACTATTATGTGCATTCATTAAAGATATTTTATAAAGAAGTTATGATGCATGAACAGGTCCGCCATCTTATGCATAATTTGGAAGAAAGCTTCTTTATTTTAAACTGTAAAATACCTGTATTTCATCCTGATCATTCCTATCTCTGGAACTTTAGCTTTTCGACTTTGTTAAATGCCATGCACAGCACATGTGCCCCAAACGCATTCAGAAGTCTGCCATTCAGAAATTGGCAAACTTATTATATCAATCCTGTCTTTTGTACCTCAAGTGTTGAGATCGTTCCTAAGAATACCTAGTAGCAAATTACAGGTAGTCCTCAACTTACAACCACAACTGAGCCCAATATTTCTGTTGCTAAGTGAGACATTTGTTTTTGCCTCATTTTACGACCTTTTTTGCCACAGTTGTTAAGAGAATACTGCAGTTGCTAAGTTAGTAACATGTTAAATGAATCTGGTTTCCCCACTGACTCTGCTTGTTAGGTTACAAAAGGGGATCACATGACCCTAGGGCACTGCAACCGTCATAAATACGAGCCAGTGTCCAAATTTTGATCATGTGACTACGGGGATGCTACAATGTTCATAAGTGTGAAAAACAGTCATAAGTCACTTTTTTCAGTGCCATTATAACTTTGAATGGTCATTAAATGAACTGCTGTAAGGTGAGGACTCTGTAATCAGATTTCAAGAGTAAACTTGGTGTCATTGGCAAACCGGAGCCAATTTAACAGGGGCCACATGTGATTTTTAGACAAAAACAGGATGATTATTATTTTACAACTTGTTCTCCGATTTAACAGACAAGTGAAATAAATAGGAAGACTTACCCGTATGCCAGACATACTGTACCCAAACATATGTGCTGGCAGCAAAAAACAACCACTGTATTGGTATGAATAGCAGACATATGATATTTGATGTGAATGCTACACAAACGAAAAATACTGAAAATGCCTAAAGAAAAACGAGGGGTTGGGGAGAAGAGAAAAAAGGAGAAAGTCCATTAGGCTTTTTTTAAGATAGTGAAAAGATTTCACTGAAGGCATTGCAATTGCATCCATCCATCCATCCATCCATCCATCCATCCATCCATCCATCCATCCATCCATCCAAACATTCAACTTTCTACCAAGAAAGCCACATAACAGCAATTTTCTCCTAATTATTAATAATGATTTCATGGCTAAGATTTTACTGCAGCTTTATAGAAATTTTCCTTTTTGTAAATACTAGTCATGCCCCTAATTTTCTCTCACATGGAATCCTGAATGTTTGCCGCCAATATAATTTACCAAATGACTTGCTGGAGCAGCATGGTTGACTTTAATTCAAATTTTGCTTCAGCCAATGACTATAAGCACCCAAAAAAATGTTCACGGCGGCTAACTTTTTTTTTTATTTCCCAAAAGTTAAAATTATAAAACTATTCTGTTATTCTATTATTAGAAATCTGGCAAAAGAGATGTGCTTTTAAAATGTTTTTGCTGTGGTGCTTTTAAGGGTATCTGCAACCTACAAAAGGTTATTTCTCCACTTGTAATAATCATTATAATCCAGTATTAACCATGTTTGGTAACTATGAGACAAATGATTATTAGATATTGAGAGACAATCTGTCTGTATTCTTTCCGTCCTTGTAACATGAATACCACGTTACTTGATATTCTCAAAATATCTGGAATCCAAAGAGCTGTTCCTCAAGCCTTGGATAAAAGTTGCTTCTGAATATCAAGAGACCCTATTAAAGCAGCACCCAGAGTAGTAGAAAGGGATGTTCTGCAGCTGAAAATAGAGACAAGCACTCCTCCTTTATTTGCAAAGAACTTTTTCGGAGCTATATATCAAACAGGATTCCAACTGAGAGATACATTGGACAGCTACTAATGCAAATGCTAGTAATAACAATAAACAGTGGATAAATACTTTTTCTATTTTTATACATACCAATCCCTGGTATCTGAAGGAATCATAAACACTCCGGATGAAAAGCCAGAATGGCCACAAATATTCAAATCTGAATTCCAAAACAAAGTCAGCCACCAACACGAGGGCCCAAACTACCAGGAACTTCAGATACAGGAAAGTACTGAAAGAAAGAAGGAAAAAAAACAAAAATAATTTTGCATATAGACAAACTAGCAAAGCGATTTCATTTCTGATTCAAAATAAGTACACATGGGTCTGTATTAATAAGCACAGAAGGAAGGTTCGAGTAAAAACAAAAAAAGTTACATCACTGAAATCTGCAAACACAATCTACACTGTGTTACACAAAAGTCAACAAAAGTATATGCGCAGTTGGTCGAGAAGGGACATTTAAAGAGCTGACGGAATAACACTTCTAAAAACTTTTTAAATAGTGCTTGTGTTCCATTTTCCCCCTCCAAATGATAACTTTCATCTTTCAAAATGAAGCATGTCTGCCATAGTTGCAGGTTGAATTATGGTCCTGTGATATCAATCTGCAATGCTCATTTTATTTGCCTTCTGCACAAAAGATGCAGAAGCGCTGAACTTCTGCTCCATTTGCAGTCCATGCAAAATACAGATTATACTGAAGCAGACTGAAATTATATGGTTTGGTGGCGTGTAATATATATCCCAGTTCCGATAAATGCTCAGATAATCAGTAGCAAGCTTCAAAAATACTCTATTTGATATTGAAGAATCAAGAAAACTATACTGAGGTGAGTCTGTTAAAAGCAAACTTCTTTTTCAAGTAAAAGCTATTACCTAGGGCAGGGGTAGGCAACCTTGGCTCTTTTATGACTCGTGGACTTCAATTCCCAGAATTCCTGAGCCAGCCATGCTGAGGGGAAAGGGAGAGGCTTCCAAGCTGAGCCAAGCTGGCTCAGGAATTCTGGGAGTTGAAGTCCACGAGTCATAAAAGAGCCAAGGTTGCCTACCCCTGGCCTAGGGGCTAAGTTTTCACATCATGGTGTTGCCTGCTGCTTGGCTATTTCCAGTTGCTTTTCTGATGAAGGGATGTGTTTTAATGTGCATGCTAATATTGGCTTATTTTTCTAACAAATCAGAGTTAGAAGATGTGGCATGTCCTTGGCTTTCAATATTTGGCTTATTTGTAAGATGTGAGACAGAGCTTCTGATTTACACATGATAGTAGGCAATTTACAAAGGGAAAATGTGCTTTTTCATTCTCATTGGCAGGAAGAACTTAACCCTGTTGAAGTTGGAAGAGAGCCATTATCTTTGCCAAGATACCTGCCCCACAGTATTGATTTCATCAGACGTGGGCGCATCTTTATTTGTACATGCCTAAATTCACAACATTTTCTGAATCAAAAACTGCCAGTTTCTACTACAAAATTACGTGAACTGGTTCTTTTGTATTATCAGTAGTTCAAAGAATAGGCAGCTACTTGTAATACTTCAGTTCCCCTAACAATCAGGTCGCCTAACATTGTACTAATTTCTGATTTACTTACAAAGGATCACATATTTTTCTCAAAGCTCACCTTCCAAGTTAACCCCAGGGGACCAGTGAGTATTCTTATAGAACAGGGGTAGTCAACCTTGGCTCTTTTATGACTCGCGGACTTCAACTCCCTGAATTCCTGAGCCAGCATGAGGGAACTATGGCCCCTTCATGACTTGCGGACTTCAACTCCCAGAATTCCTGAGCCAGCACAGCTCAGCATGGAAACCTCTCCATTTCTCCTCAGCATGGCTGGCTCAGGAATTCTGGGAGTTGAAGTCCACGAGTCATAAAAGAGCCAAGGTTGACTACCCCTGTTGTAGAATTTATATGATTTTTATGATCCATCATCAGAGTAGTTGCAAGCATAGTTCTGGAACTGAAGCTGTAACATTCACCTTGAGGGAATGACTTGTCACCAGAACGGTGGGAATGCAGTCTTGTAAATTTTCCTAGCAAAGGAACATTTTCAGAGCAAGAGCCACATTTGATTTCTGAGCAGTGTGTTTTAGGATTCCAAAAACAGGCTAAGCTGGGACAAATGATCAGATCATGACAGAACATGGCTTCATCTACTTTAATTAAAAAGTGACTACTTTACATTATGCCTAATAAATTTAATAATTTCCCCCTGAGATAAATGAAAAGTTACAAACTGGTGACAAATTTGGGCAGGGCTTTGAGGCAATGCTTTTCATTGAATATGTGTTGGCCTTGAGTTATGCATTTTTGCAACAATTGACAGCAACGTTTGATATAATTGATTGTGCCGTTTCCTGCTAAGCTGCACAGGCTGGGAATGAGAAAAGTCCTGTGATAGTTTATTTTCTAACTCAATGGAGGAATTCTATTTGACTCCTGCTTAGACAACGGAATTTTGGAATCTGACAGGTACCCTTTTAATCCTCATACATTAAATCACTTGACATTGTTACCTGGACATATGGGCTAAAGTGCCCTGTAAAAGACAGTGTGTCTGAATGCACAGCAAAATACAACCAGGTGGATCTCAGAGCAAACCGTTGTTTGTATAATAGCTCACTCAATTAAGTGACGGTTTTGCATGGATTTGCAATCTGTTGAAAGTTAACACAGAAATAATGAGTTTGTGAACTGAAATAAGAATTGTTTGGTGAACCAACTGTTCCTGCCACTGAAGGACAAGAATGATGCATGCATTGCCATTATCAGAACCTCAGCTTTGAGAAATTGCTAGATGTTTGTTTTTTAATGGAGCATGAGATTATTCAAATAGGCTTTGAATGAAAAAAAGTCATTTATGAAACACAGTAGTCTTGTAATGTCACTATAGTATCATCATTAACAGAAGGAACCGCCAGTTTGGTGTACGATTAAAGGCAATGAGCTAGAACCTAGGGGACCACGAATTCTTTTCCTGCCTTAGCATAAAGCCTGATAAATAACTTTGGGCTAGTCGCTTAGCCCTAGAGAAAAAACAATGACAAACCGTTTCTGAAAATATTGCCAAGAAAACTATAGGAACTGGTCTAGGGCAGTGGTGGCGAACCTATGGCATGCGTGCCAGAGGCGGCACTCAGAGCCCTCTCTGTGGGCACACGTGCCTTCGCCCCAGCCCTGCCTCCCCCCACGGCCTCCCCCCTCACCAGCAGCCCCTCCGGAGGAGACTCGCCCCCGGGCATGGCCCGCACAGAGCAGCGCAGCCAAGGACATGGCAGCCAAGTAGTGGGGACAAGACTCCGCCTTCACGCTCCGTCATGCGCAGATGATGCTGCAGGGCGCAGGTGGAGGTGTGGCCACCATGGCGCTGCTGGGCCACTTGGGTAATCTGTTGCGGCGGGCTGTGGAGGCGGGTGGCCCTGCAGGCAGACGGGGGCACAGGGTGGCGGGCAGGGCGGTTTTGGGGCACTCGGTCTCTAAAAGGTTCGCCATCACTGGTCTAGGGAGTCACCAGGAGTCAACACTGACCGAAAAATAACAAGCAAACAAACACATACACACATACAACACTCCATCCCCCCCCAAACACTCTAAACCAGAAAAACACCCCTTCCATCTGATGGGATATCCTTATGAGACAGATTATTCAGTTTTAGTTCATATGAGTATCTTAAGAAGATTACTTCATATGACTAAAAAGCATCTCAAACAATCCCCATAAAGCAATGTTGTCAATTTCAAAAGCTGAATAAAATATTTTCAAGTATTTATCTCTTATAAAACAATTTTTCCTGACCATTCAAATGCTGATTATCCTTGAATAATAGATGAAAACACTCTTTTCCATAGTTTTTACTTTCTGTCTGCAGCAGAAACAATAATGTATATGCTGGAATCCTTTACTGAATAGTAATTTATCTACATGATTAGATTTACTGACACAATTGCTCAAGACTGTCCAAATATTTACTATATAATAGACATTATAGTATACTATGTAGTATATGTATATATCACTAGACATTTACTACAACAGCAAATGCTCAAGACTTCTGTTCCCATCTATATTCTTCAGAGATAGGCCCCCATCTGTTAAACCAGCTGATCAAATGAATTAGGGCAAACTTAAATGTTTATGAAATGAAGGATTTACTGCAAACGTAATATTACTGATCTTTTAAATGATTGAAGAATTGAAAGAATACTGGAACCATGCATTTTCTTCACTTCCAAAATAATCATACCCTGAAAATGAAGATGATAAGTAAACACCCTCATAAACACAATGAAGTAATTTATTTTAAAGACAACTATGTTAGACATTTGTAAATTGAAAGAGAGTGATGAAATTGTAAACATTTATGTTCCATATATTGTATCTGTCCAAAAAGAGAGGAGAAAATACTATTACAAACATTTTTAAGTACCCAGAGTAGGCTTTATACACAATGCAGATTGCACCGTAGCAAAGAGAAATTCTGTTTATTAGGGTTACTTTTATAGCGATAAGATTGGAACAATTTATGAGGGCAATCCCAGTAAACTGCATCTTCACAGCAAAAGCAAAGCCGAAAAGTGAGAAGAAATTTGCACAGGCGATAAAAGAGGAAAAGCCAGAGAGTCTGATTAAAGTCTTGTTTGCCTCTATATGCATTTAATCAAAACAGAGTAAAGGAAACAACGGAGCGGAAATGGAAGCATATCAGAAATGAAAACAGAAGACAATCGCCTGGTTTTGCGGAAAAAGTGGTGGTAGTTTAATTCTTTCAAGAAATAACAAAGCCGTTATAAAAGAAATATAATCTATAATCCCAGAAAGAAATCAGGGGTTTTTTCCCCTCCCCCCAGTTCTTTTTCTAGGGCTGTCCTATGAAATCACTGTCAAGGGAATTCTGAAGCTAAGATTTTTAACCTATCCATTTACATCTCAAAAAGCATCATCTCTCTCTCTCTCTCTCCCTCTCTCTCTCTCAATTTATGACCTCGGGTTAAGACACACAACCAGCAAAAACCATGCTGTAATAGCAATACCGAACCACAGATGTAGCACTTAGCATTAGCAGATCCAATCAAAGCATTAATGCTCTCTATCCTCATGCAATTTCCTCTCTTTAACAAACCATAGTTCAGATTGCAGTCTGACATCTGCGAGAACCAGGAGAGCTGAAAATCAGGAATTTACTAGAAAACTGGAAATTAGGAATTAACCCAAACTGGAGGAAGAGTGGGCA